GCCAGTTGCGGGAGCTCGACTTCCTGGACCAGGGAGAGCTGCCCATCACTGACGCCATCACGGTACACGATGATGCTTTTGGGCAGCTGAGCGTTCACCTGTACAGATTTGAGTTGTGGGTCACGAAGAAATATTATTGTGTAGTGGATGTTTCTAAGCAACTGAACTTTCACCTGCAGAGATTAGAGTTGTGAGTCACGAGGAAGTATTATTGTGTTGTGAATGTTTCTAAGCAGCTGAGCGTTCACCTGCACAGATTAGAGTTGTGAGTCACAAAGAAATATTATTGTGTTGTGGATGTTTCTAAGCAGCTGAGCGTTCACCTGCACAGATTAGAGTTGTGAGTCACGAAGAAATATTATTGTGTTGTGGATATTTCTATGCAGCTGAGCGTTCACCTGCACAGATTAGAGTTGTGAGTCACGAAGAAATATTATTTGTTGTGGATGTTTCTATGCAGCTGAGCGTTCACCAGGCAAGGTATTAAGCTGGATAGAGGGTTACAAATAAATACAACATTATTAAATTATTTGGGAAGCAGAAACATTCATCGCATGCGTAGTTTAAACAATCATACCCATAGAAAAAATAAAGAGATGGCGGTAGTGACCTGGATCATTTGATGAATGATTTTTTTTTAATAAATCTTTAATGCTCTTTGTTTAAATTAAATCGCGAAAATCACCATTTAAAACTTTATTTCTATGACAAAAGCAACTTCCTACTTGGCTAGATCCAGTTAATAACAAAACATCATGTTTCTATAATCATTTCACCATCATGCATTAGCAACAACATCACCTTGCTATAACCATTTCAACATCATGCATTAGAAACATCATGTTTCTATAATCATTTCAACATCATTCACAAAACACATCATGTTTCTATAACCATTCAATAACACGCACGAAACGCAGCATCATGTTTCTATAATCATTTCAACTTCGTGTACTAAACATAATATGATCTTTTTATAACCATCTCAACACCATGCATTAGACACACCATCATGTTTCTATAACCATTCCACCATCATGCATTAAACACAACATCATCTTTCTATAACCATTCCGCCATCATGCATCAGACACATCATCGTTCTATGACCATTTCACCATCATACACTAAACACAACATCATCTTTCTATGGTCATGGGCCTATTTCTTGAGTGCCGACACTTCTATTCTATTCTTCTATTCTATGTTTCTATAACCATTCCACCATCATGCATCAGACACATCATCGTCTATAACCATTCCACCATCACGCACTAAACATACACACCTCGTGGTAATTCTTGAGCGCGGCTAAGAACGAAGTTCTGAGGCCGTTGACGATCTCGTCGCCGGGGTTCTGGAAGGAGGCGCGACTGAACCACTTGGTGAGGGTGACGTTGGTGGAGGAGACGAAGCTTGCCACGGAGCTGCCTCGTCTTGTCGGGTCGTGGTACACGTCGATGCCGCACACCTATAACGTGTAATAAATATATCAACCAATGATGACAAAATAAACGTTAACATATAATGAATAAGCAACGTACCTGCCACATGGAATGAATATCAACTTATAAATGAGGCGAGAAACGTACCAGCCACGTGTAATGAATATCAATCTACACTCATAAAAATTAATGGGTCATATTTTCCAAATATCAACACACTCTGCACGTAGCAATGATGCTCATTCTTGCCTGGACAAACCGCCTCATGATGACCCACACAAGCGCAAAATGCAAAAATGCACCGCTATTGCGACAATATCGCAGTCACTTTTTTTGTGTATAATTATAAAGTGAACCAATGCCACACATATTCAATTGATATCAGTTAAATAAGGAGTGAAGCGTGAGCTTTTATTTTTCAAATATTTCAGCGTTTCGTTTGTAGTTGCTTGGAAACGTACGGAACTATCAAGTTGCAATGTAACTTCAGAACGGCAATTAATATTCATACATGAGCAAGAATATTGCGTCTCCGAAGGATGATTTCTGTCCCTTATCATGCGAATCCGTACAATTACAACCAAATACCCATGCCCGACCCCTAGTACCATGAAATGCCCCACGTAACATGACCCACCCCTCGTACCCACTCCAAGTACAATGACCCATTGACGGTACCATCACTACCATGACACACCTTTAGTACCCACCCACCCATGGTACTATGACCCACCACAAGCACCATGACCCACCATGAGTCCCTGCATGGGTATCTTGAGCGCCCACAGCTCCCCACCAAGCTTGCAGTTGATCTGTAAGGCGATCTTAAGTGTAACAGATCTAAGCTTGGCNGCAGAGTTGCAGAGCACTTCAGAGTTGCAGAGCACTTCAGAGTTGCAGAGCACTTCAGAGTTGCAGAGCACTTCAGAGTTGCAGAGCACCAGAGTAGCAGAGCACCAGAGTTGGCGAGCACCAGAGTTGGCGAGCACCAGAGTTGCAGAGCACCAGAGTTGCAGAGCACCAGAGTTGCAGAGCACCAGAGTTGCAGAGCAGTGCAGAGTTGCAGAGATAGCAGTTCAGAGATAGAAGAGTTTGTCCTGGAGCGCGTCGTGCGTGGGCTTCCTTATGTTCTGGCCAACGAGGTATGACAATTTGTGGGCGTACTGAAACATAAAGAATAAACATGAGACAAACGCGAGGAAAAATATCAGGATCGCAGCCAGAAGCACGGGAAGCGTGATAGTTGGCTTCCCGAAATGAGCTTAGCTTCAGGCAACATTAACTGCTCCTGGGCACGCGTGATACAAGAAAATCTTATTCTTAGCAAGAAAAAATATTTATTGGTGAACTTTAGGTAGTATCAAGCACGAGACGACGGTAATAAATTGTACGACCTCGATAATATTATGGGTGATTATACTAAATAAGCTTGTCTTGTGACCAAAACAACTTATGATCCGCAAAAATATATATAATAGTTGATACTGCAAAATAAAAGTTCGTAATTATCAAGCAATCATTAATAATAAAGAGATAATTCATCATACACCCACATGCAGCGTTCCATGGAGCCATGGAAGCAACTATTGACACATGGATAGGCTTCATAATCTAGTGTACAGATAAAAAGGTAATTTACTAACAATTATGAACAAAATTTATTTGTTCAGAGTTGTTCACCTAGTTGTCTATAATTTATCAAGGAGTAGCTAAGAAACGGACGTGGTAATTCGTGATGAGAGAGCGTCAAGTCCTATAGACTTCAACGAATCGAAATGAATATGAACAATAGATATAAGTGATATGAATCGTCCTAAGATTCAAGACCGAGTTCCATCATTAAAAAAAATCAAGACGGGAACGATCGTCTCACTTCGACATCAATTGGAAAAGCTGGTGCGTTCAGGATCGCATTATTATGTGCGTGCGTAATTGAATGTGCGAATGTTTTCGGCGCTAAATGGAAGACTGAAACGTTCAAGCCAACACGCCAATATGGAAAAATTAAATCGAGATCACATTTGAAACATCGAAAACATCTTCTAAGCCTTTTTCTGCTGCGGAAATTATTTCCTGATTCCACACCAAATGAACGATTGGTAGATGTGTTGGTTGATTAGGTACGGTAGTTGCTTTAGGGCAGCATTGAGTTGACATTATAGATAGAGACAGACTAACAGTTTACACGGAATTAGACGATTCTTCGGTAAAAGAGCTGAAGATACTTTTCCCGTTCCAGACCAAAATTTACGTTTGGTATGTGATGTGTTGGTTGATTACGTAGTTGCTTTAGGGCGCTTTAGGGCAGCAGTATAGATAGATACGGACTAACAGTTTACACGGAATTAGACTTGGTTGATTAGGTAGTTGCTTTAGGTCGCTTTATGCAGTATAGATAGATACAGGCTAACAGTTTACACGAAATTAGACGATTCTTCAGTAATGGCAGTATAGATAGATACAGGCTAACAGTTAACACGGAATTAGACTTGGTTGATTAGGTCGTTGCTTTAGGGCAGGATTGGCAGTATAGATAGATACAGACAAACAGTTTACACGGAATAACACGATTCTCCAGTAAAAGAGCTGAAGATACTTTTGCTGTAGCCACGATTGGTACAGATTGCATGGATGAGCAAAGACGCGAAGCACGACATGACTTGCAGCGCTGCTGCCGCAGGTGCTAGG